TTTGTTATTAATTAGTTAATTAAGTATTATTAACAATTACAGAATTATGTTATTATATTAGTGTAGTCATACCCTGTTACTTTGTAGCTTTTTATGAATGTCAATATCATTTAAAATAAATGCTTAAGTCAGTAATCTAGGCTAACATTCTCATTTCACTGAGAATGAACAAATTGATGAGGTTATCAGCTATTTATATTTCACCTCTTCAAAGGGATACTATGAAGATATGTAAAGATATAGCTATTAAGGTGTCTACAATTTCAAGGGAAAGTTACAATGTAGTAATAATAATGATCATGATATTAGCTGATTAGAACTGTTTGTTACCCACTGCCTGCTAGTCTCTGCTAGATATCTAATACATATTGTATATAATTTTCAAAATAATTTTTAAAGATAGGTAGTAATGTCCTCATTCTGGAGGTGAAAGAATTTGAGACTTAGGTTAGAGGATGTACCCAAGATCACAAAGTAGTAAAAAACAAGTTAGAACTGGGCACGGTAGTATATATTTGTAAACCCAGCTTCTTAGGAGGCTGAGGCAGGAGGATTGAAAGTTGAAACAAAGCTTGAAACAAAACCTTGTCTCAAAATAAAAAGATCTGAGGAGGTAACTCAGTACTGGAGCACTTACCAGCACATTTGAGGCCCTCATTTCAATCCCTAGTAGTACAGGGGGAAAATGATGCACTGAAATTTTAACCAGAATCTGTTTGAGTCTAAAGACTGTTATACTTTTTATACAGTTAATACAGCAGAAGATGGACTAATGAATCTTAAAAAGATATAATTCAGGCCTGTAAAATGAATGTATTCTTGTTTTTGTTGCATTTGACAATTATAATAATTATAATATATTATGTAATAATATATTATTATATAGTAGTCCATCTATTAATTTAAAAAAATTAGTATGCATCTTCAATGCAACTGAGTATTTTAATGTTAAGAGATCCTTGTGGACAGGTGTTAGGCGGCTGATGTCATTAAATTTCTGTGCATAGAAGGTTGAAAGAAAATGTAGGTGGGGACAAGGAGGACAAGTAGGAGTGTGTTTTAGCGGTGGCAGCAGGACTGGAGAGAAGTAAATGGGCTTGGTGGCTGTTCAGGAGGAAGCTGGGACGGGGTTGATTGGAGATGGGTGGGGATGGTAAATCATCAAGGCAGAGGCCCAGGTTTCTGGCGCTGCTTCCTCCCGTCTGTTACTGGGACCGGTAGGCAGTTAGCAGGAGAGGTTTAGAGGTAGAGCATTTTGGATGCTGGGTTTTAGGTGTTTGTGACGGTGTCACGATGGACTTCGATAATCACTTTCTAAATTCAGGAGCGTGATCTGGGCTACAGACTTAGTTTTAGAAGTGAACACCTAATGGCAATTAGGAAAGAAATCTACAGAGGAGACGGAGTTGCTGAGGGCGAGTCTGTACAGTGGAAGAAGGTGAGATCTCAGATGTGATCCCTGTAGAACACCAATATTTAAGGCACGACTAATAGAGAGGAGTGGCTGGAAAGTCACGGTACGGTGGTGTCAGGGAGACAATGTGTCAAGGTGGGAAGAGTGACCCTGGGTATATGCCCAAAAAGAACGCAAACATTTGTCTACACAAAGAACTGGACATGAGTTTCAGAGAAGTTTTATTGACCATTGCCACCAGCTAGATTATGCATCAAGTGGTGAAAGAGTAAAATTGTGATATATTTGGAATATATCCAAATAATAATCAATGGGAAGAAACTGCCTACTTATAACAACATGGATGCTGCTCAGAGGCATCCCAAAGTGAATGGAGTCAAATACAAAGGCCATGTCATGTCTGGTTCCAATGATAGGACATTCTGGGATATAAAAACCCTGAGGATAAAAATTAAATGAATGGCTGTGAGGGGCTGGAGATACGAGGTAACCTGACTGTCAAAGATCTTGAAGGACCCTCTGGGGTGATGACAATGTGATATCTTAATGGTGGGGTGGCTATAGGATTGTAGATGGTATCCAAACTCATAGTACTGTACAACTAAAAAGGCAGATTCTACTGTGTATAAATCATCCCTTAACAATCTTGATTTCAGGTAAAAATGCAACAGAAACAAAGGGAATGCTGAAAATGTCGAACATTGCTTATACACCATGCAAGAAAAGGATCAATACGTGCCCATGGCAAGTGGCATGGGTAGTTTTACCTGAGTAGTGGCAGCAGCATTGGGGAGGCAGGAACTAGAATGCTAAGGACTGAGGAGTATGGAAACAATTCGTGGTTGTCTCCTAATTCTCATTTCTCCTTCCTCCATGCGATGGATTCCTCCCAGTTTTGGGGTAGGCTCATGGTGAGGAAGAGTGAAGTCTGCTTTGCCCAGTCACCTTGGAAACTGAACCCAGCAATATGATTGGATCCTAGACAGATTGTGTCAGTTAAGCTTCCCACCCCTTGGGCACAATACCTGACACCTGCAATTTAAAGGAGGAGAGAGATTTTTTTGGCTAATGGTTTCAGGGGGTTCAGTTGATGGTTGGCTGGCTCCAAGACAGAAATGACAAGGCACAAGGGCCTGGTGGAAGAAAACTGCTCAACCAATGGCAGCCAGGAAGAACAGAGAGACTAATAGAGCAAGAGAGAGAGAGAGATAGAAGAGAGAGAGAGAGAGAGAGAGAGAGAGAGAGAATACACTCTTCCACATCATACCCCCACTGATCCACCTCCTCCCACCAGGCTCCACCTCCTAATAGGACCATCAGCTATGAATTTATCAATGGATTAATCTGATCATGAGTATAGTGTTCCCATAATCTAATCCCTTTCCAAAAGCCAAACCTCTGAAGATATAAGACTTGGGGTGTGTGTGTGTGTCTTGGGGGGATATTTTAGATCTAACCAATGACAGAGATATAAGAGGAAGTGTCCCATGGCAGCTTCTGTGAACCTTCCTGAACAGGTAACTGGCAAGCTGACACCCATCTTTTGCCTCTTCTTCTTTGTTCCTTCCACTGCTGTGCTGGCTGGAATACAGAGATGATGGCTGGAGCTGAGGAGGCCACCTGGGACCATGAAACGACTTTGAGAAGAAAGAACATCTAGGATAGAGCAATGTTTTGAAAGAGATCAGGTCTCAGAGCTCTTTGAGGGACAGAACTGCTAAACTAACCTGAAACTACTGATCTTGTAACTCTTTTTTTTTTAGTTAAAGAAAGACAAAACAAGATAGAAAATGGGCAGAAATAGTACATACTTTCAAAGAAAGAAATAGACAGTAATAAATCACTAGCTGATGTATACATATTGTCCCCCCATAAACAGTTGTTCAAGGTACACAAGTGGAACATATAAATGGGATTTCAACCAGGGAGACTGCAAACAGTTCTGTTCAACTATCCGACAAAAACTAGGTATTATGGCTATCAATCCTATACACTTAGACATGTATGCATTTATCCATATCTTCATTTATGTTGAGACCTAACAGAGCATATTAGATTAAAATCCTTCTGAACAAAGATTAATAATATTGCTGGATTTCACATTATAACACTCCGTAATCAGGATTGGGTACTGCAGTGCCACTTTCTTCCTTTCAGAGTTTTTGTTCCAGATCTTGGAACTCTTAAGAGAAAACCAAATCTTCTTCCTGTTTAAGCCTCTTTATTATTCACACGTGAACTTAATCTACCCCAGGGCAGGAAAGAGGAAGTGAGGGTGGAGCCAGGGAGTCTGGACAACCCTGTCAAGAGGCTTGGCAATGAAGGGAAGAATAAGGGGTGGAAGGTGGCCGAAGGGGGACCTGAAGGGAGGGAAGGAGGGAGGATTGTCACATTCACACTAGGCTCTGCAAAGGGAAACCTGGATTTGACCAAGAATCTCTAGCCATAAATTCATGCATCTTCCCTGGGGTTGACTTGTGGAATGAGAAATCTGTTTAGAATCTTCTGCCCTGGGCTCCTGGTCCCTTGGACATATGCTCGTCCCTCTTTTCCACTTGAGGCCACCAGCCAACCACTGGCAGAGCACTCTCCCCATGCGGTGGGACTGCTTGTGTGAGGCCTCTCCCCATGCGGGCCAGCCTGGCAGGGAGGCCTTGCCTGAGCGCCCTACCAAACAGGTCCATTTGTTCTCCACTGGAGCATTTCTTCAAAAACAGTTTCTTAGGGCTGGGGATTTAGCTCAGTGGCATAAGCACCTGCGGTGCAAGCACAGGGTTGTGAGTTGGATCCCGGCACCCACACACAAAAAAGAACACCCCGCCCCCAAAAAACTCCAAAAAACAGTTTCTTAAAGAGCTAAGCCATTTGCCATGAAATCCACCCAGAATGTAGAGTTCAATGACTTTTAGGTCAATCACAGTCCGGCGATCATCACAAATCAACTTCAGAATACTTACCACAATACTGTTGCTACTTAATGTTTATCGCAATATTTTCAACCTTCATTGTTTTCTTTTATCCGTATGCTGTCTTCCCCTTTTGCCTGTGAATGTCACTAGGGCAGGAGCTCTGGTGGCTGTGTATGGGCTTTGCTTTGTGTCCTCCGCAAGGAAAGCCGGGAGCTTGACCTATCTCCCCTTCACTGCAGGGGCGGTGGGCACCTGAGTGGAAGCAGGTTTTTGCCTGGAACCTGTTAGCAGGGGATTCTCAGAGGGGGTGGGGGCGGGGAATATGCGTCCCAGGGGAGATTTTAACTATGGGGTGGGGCTGCAGTAATTTAGGAGACCGTGCTCAACATAGAGTTTGAAGAAACAAAACGAAACAAAAAACAGACCACAGAAAGTAAAGCTGGACAATATCTCCCAGGCAGGCAGGAATACGTAGAATGTGAAGTGGCATAAGGTCACTGAAGTGGGGACACATCGCATGAACTTGCCGCAGCGCTGCTGGACTTGCCCTGGGAAACTCAAACGCGTGTCCTTTGCGCTGGCACAATGGCGCTTCTGAGCCCGCGCCCAGCCCGCTGGGGGCAGTCCTCGCTGCGTGCGGAGGCCAGAAGCTTCTTGGCAACTTCCAAGCGGCGAGAACTGCAACCTTGCCAATGACTCAATCGTTTCCCTGCGCCCTCTGGGCTGTGCCATCCGCCGCAGCCACCTCCTCCCCTCCCACCTGGCTCCGCGCAGCGTCCCGCATCCCCGGGGAGCCTCCTGCGCACCTGGTGCCCCGGCGCCCGGGTTCTGAGCGCTGGTGGCCACCTCGCCCGGCGCGCAGCTGCCGGCGCGCTCCCTCCCCAAACCCCGGACTGGAGAGGCTTGTCTGGCGCCCAGCGAACAACATTATCCAATTGCTTCCCGTCTTACTCGCAGGCTGGGAGCCGAGCGAGCCCGAGCCTTCACTTTCAACCCTCCAGGCGAGGAGGGGGTGCGGGCGGGGAGGAGAGACGGCTCCCGGCTCCACCTCGCGCGCGGCGCGGCGCGGCCAGAGCGCTCAGCGCCTGCAGAGGGGAGCAGCACCGCGAGCCTCGCAGCAGCGCCCGGCCGCCCGGAGCCCCGCCATGGAGTGAGTATCCCCACGCCAGCGCGCCGAGGCACGTTGCCATGGCGACCGAGGCGGCAAGCAGATCCCGGCTGGGTCTCCATCCAGCATGGGTGTTTAATTTCAGCCCAGTGTGTACGGCTGGTGTTTCTATAGCAGCCGCGGCTGCGGCTGCAGGAGGCAAGGGGCAGCAGCCCTGGGATGTGTGGCTGTGTGCAGCAGGGCCCCTGGGGACTGCGATGTTGCCAGGGAGGGAGACACCTTTCAGGCTTCCCCGACCCTGCCCCACGCGTCTGCTTCTTGGGGAGTTGGCCGCAATAGCCATGACTTCCGATTCCCAACCATGTCAGCAATATTGGGCTGCAGTTAAAAAAAGGGGGGTGGTGGTGGTGGTGGTGGTGTTCACTGCGCATCAGAAGCGAGTGTGGTTCGGTGCGAAGTGTGTAATGGAAGGATGATGAGTTAGTGGTAATAGGAGCCAGGGCTGCAATGTCCAGGCTACTGGAAACCACCAGAGGACCCGAAAGAACTGATTTGTTTCTGGGTAATGAAAAAATGAGATAAATGTACTAGCGGCAGCCAGAGGCTCAGTTACATTTGGCACTGTGGGCACGGCAAGGGAGGGGTGGGGAAGAGATGGCATGAAGACAAGAGAGGCGTTAACCGGAAAAAAGACACAATAGAGGGCTCCGGGGAGGGTCAGGACTAGGGCTCCTCTCTAACCCATCTCTGCAACCCTGCGTGGCTTTTTGGCCACTCTCCCGGGCTGCTGGTGCAGTAGGGCCATTCTGACAGGCGCCCACCACTCTTCCCCTCCAAGGATGGTTCATCTCCGGAGCCCGCTCTTGGGTCCCTGTTATCTTGCTCAGCATCTTCTCCTGCTCCCTTCCCTGGGGTACTCCCTGACACTGGGGCCATATGAAGTCGTACTTCACGCTGGAGACATGTCATGGTTTCAGGGATCAAGACCTCCATGTCAAACCCAATAAGCCCCCGTGTAGCCTTCATCCTCCTGGATATCTGATTGTACAGATGCAATTCAGTTCTCATCGTAAGCCTGCAAAAGCAGAAGTGAGAGATGGTGTGGCATTTTAGGAGTGGGGAGTCGTGGATTTGAGTCCCTCCCTGGTACTAGCGCTATTGATTTCCTGCACCAATATTTAATGTCTCTGAGCCTCAGTTTTCCTATCTGGACAGTGGAGATAAAGATGTTTCTTACTATGAAGCATTATTGAGAGGGTCAGATAGCATTTGTATCTCTTGGAAGGGTTTTGTAAGTTGTAAGACATATCTACAAATCTAACAAGCTAGTGTGGTGTTGAAGGTGTGGGCTCTGGAGTTAGGCTGTCTGGGTTGGAGTCCTTAGACACATTGCCCAATGGTGTTACTCTCCCTGGATCTATTTTTCTCATCTGGAAAATGCAATAGTAGCTATTTCATGTGTTTTTTTGGGGGGGAGGGATGAAGATTAAACAAGAGCCTGGCACAAAGTATGCTTAATAAATATGGTCTGTTTTCTGTAAGAATCATCTATTATTTCAGTACTGTTACACTGGTCACCAGCATTTTCTACTGACATTTTATGGGCTCTCAGATTGGCAGTAAGGTATTTTTTTCTAGATAATTTATAAGGAAATACAATGTTGAATGGACAACCGACAGTAACATGGCTCCCAAGACTCACTATGGATGTGGAGAATCTGTCAGAGGCCGTGGTGGGCTTGGATGCAGATACTGGACAACGTGGCTTTCAGCCTGCTTCATTCTCTCCTCACTGTCACTTTCTTAGACATGGAGGCTGTACTTTATGAGAGACTGAACTCAAGTCCAATACTGTCATTGTGAAGGGTACCCTGGGTCAGTAGCAGCCATCTTTACTGTCTACCATTAATAATGCCTTCTATAATGCATTTCTCTTCCATCTAGCACTTGGGTGCTTCATGCCTGTGGACCAGCTTACAAGTTGTGTGAACTGACTTCCTCAGACATTCCCCCATTTCCTGCTGGTACCCATGCCTGCAACCCCTTGTGAACAGCCTTCCGTGTCACACTCTCCCTTTCCCCACTCAGGGACCGAGTTACTGCCTCGCCCAGATCCCTGCCCTGCCCAGCCTGGCTGTAACTTGCCCTGTCCCAGGTGACCTTCCAAAGTCCTCCCTGCCTATTAACCTCCCCAACTTCCAGCTACCTGTCTACTCACTGTCTTACTTCCTCTGCTTCCTTAATATAGTTAGCTTTTCCACTCTTCTCTCCCTGAAGGATACCTCTTTTTCTGTCTTTCCTTGGGTCTGACACTATGTCCCATGTGCCAAGTCCTGTACCCTCCTCTGTCTACCCCCGTCCCATCCTAGGTAACAGAGCTGGCTGTAAGTATGAGTGAGACAGTGACTCAGTGCCTGTATGAGGGTTTTATTATAGAAAATAGATGTAACATAAGATATACAAATGTGTAAGAAATGACAAGATTGGCTTATGATGATCAATCATAGATAAGGAACTGTGCGGAGGGTGTCTGCACACTGGAGGCTCAAAGATTCAACCCAAGGTCTGGAGTTCCTGTGCAAGTCCACACCAACAGGCTGATGAGTCTGTAACAGAAGGCCAAAAGGTCTATGCTGAAAGGCTGAAGAATCTATGCTGGAAAGCTAGAGTCTACACAGGAAGCCTGGAGACGACGTCCAAACCAGAGGCAAAGACTGGAGCTTCTCCAAAGAATGGAATGCATTTGTCCTTCCTTCTTTCCTTTTATACCTCCAGGTGATGAGCCACCCTAGGGTGTAGAGTTGCTAAACTCATTTAGTTAAGCTTCTAAATGTCTCAAGTTGACGCAATCAACCACTACAGTGCTCCTCACTTACTGTGCCCAATTTGTAGTCGTGAAAAACATAATTTAAAAAAGGGGAAAATTTCTTTCTTTTTCTTTCATGTAGTCAACAAATACTTATTGACATTAGCGGTTGTCAGTCCAGCAGTTGGGATTCTCATCATCTGGAGCTTAAGTTTAGCAAGGGGTTGACATTACACTTGTCATGCAAGGAGCACAGTGGGAAAGAATGGAAAAATTAACAGAAAGAGGACATAAAGTAGGGGTCTGAGAAGTCTCCTGATAATGTGATACTTAAGGATACTAAAGGATGAGCAGGAACTGACTAGGTGGGAAGTAAAGGAAAGAAACATTTTGGGCTGATAAAAAGTATGTGGTAAGACCCTGAAGCAGGAGATGCCTCAGCAAGTTGGATGAGCAGGAGCAGTGTAGTGTGGTTGGAGCTTTGGGAGGGACGGAACATAAGGACAGAAAATATGTCATAAGCCTCTCTGGATCCGTCTGTATCTCTCTGTCTCTCTTTTTGTGGCAGTAGGGATTAAATCCAAGGCCATTCGACCACAGCGTTGTATCTCTAGTTTTTTCTGTATTTTGTTTTGAGATAGGGGGCTCACTCACTGAGTTACTCAGGCTGGCCTGGCACTTGCAATCTTCTTGCTTTGGCCTCCCAAGTAACTGAGATTACAAGTGTGCTCCACTACATCTGGCCTGGGATCTCTTTAAATTCTTGGTATCCTTGCAAGCATGGTATTCTGAAAATGTTACTGATAGTCTCAGGCCAGAAATGCCATCTTGAAAGGTGCCTGTTTTTCACAGGGACTTAGCCAAAGGATCAGTTTAAAGCACCTAGGGATGATCATAAAACATGCAAAGATCGATATCGCAAATGATCAAATCTTGCTTTGCGAAGGGACAAGTGTGGTACTGACATTTATAACTTCAGGTCCTGAATATGTGCCTTCATTCATGCATGCAGTCATCCATTTATTTAGCTGCATATTTTCCATGTGCCAAATGATGTGACAGGTATGTGGGATAAATGGTGACCAGTGTCCCTGGCCCAGTCTTCAAGGAGCTCACAATTTGGTCTGTATGTGACTATCAGTGCCATGTAATGATGAACAGGTTTCCTTGCTAACATTACTCCTTGGACATAAAATGTGACCTTTCATGTGTTTAGCACATTGTAGACATTGAATAAATGGATTTATTTTTATCTTTTTAATGGATTTAAAAGTGTGTGAAACTTTTAACAGTTAATTTTATAATGAAAATAAAATATGCAGTTTAAATGCAGTCTTGGTTACTTTTCTCCAGTTGCTGAGACAAAACATCTAACACCCAAAATGAAGGAAGGAAAGGTTTATTTAGCTCACTGTGTGTGGAGAGTTCAGTCCCTAATCAGCTGGCTCTAAGGCAGGGTAGTGTGTCTAAGAGGCAACTGTTCATGGCGGCCTCAAGAAAAAAAAAAAAGCAAAAGGGCAAAAGAGAGAGAAACACACTTTTCTTCCCTCCTTTACATTGTATGCCAGCTACCACCCCTGAGTGGGTGCAGCACACACACTGCTAATCCTGATGCTAGATAACGAGCCAATCACAAATGCTAGACTCAGCAACCTTAGAAAGGCTCGCCCCTCCATGACTGAATGAGTCTTGGGGGGACATTTAAACACAAACCATAACAAACGCTATATAGAAGTTGGTAAACTAACTCTCCATTTTCCATCCTTTCCCCCAAATCTCAGTCCCAAGAGGCAATTACCATGAACAGTTTCGAAGTATCTTTTGAGATACTTGCAAATAACACAAAGTTTGAAGCAAATACTTACATAGGTTAATATTTTTTGGATAAAAATAGCACATACATTGTTCTATAGCTCACTTTTCCTCTCCATTTTCCATTATGCATAGTTGTACATAGCAATATACACATTTGCATTATATTGTGTATATTTGTACATAACAGTATACTTCATTTGCTTTTACTACCTACTTAGTATTGACTTTTGGGACATTACGAACTAGTTTCTTCTTTGAAGGAATTTGGGTGTGTTTCCATTTCTTTCTATATAGGCAATACTACAATCAACATCCCTTAATTCTTGAAAATGAATCTGAAGGCTAATTTCCAGGCATGGAATTTCTAGGTGAATGAATATGCACATTAGAAAATTTGCCAGATACTGTCAGTCTCTAAAAA